CTCGCTTCGCTGCCCTATCCGCTTTGAGGAGGACGCCGTGCTCTGCCGCCCCAGCAAGCTATGTCCGCCGACGGTAAGGCTGCCGGCAGAGCGGCCAGCGGCCCGCCGCGGGAAAGCAGACGAGACGCGGCACGCACAGAGCTCCCGCATCTTTCGCAGCAGCCGTAGCGCTCGCTGCCTAGCCGGTCGAGCCACGCCCACCACGCCCGCCGCTATTCGCCGGTTCCGGCGCGGTGCACCATCGCCATTGGCTATCGCTGCTGCCCGTCACCGCCGCGTCGGCGGTGGTTGTGGGGGCTCGGGACGCTGTGCGGGGTGGGAGTAGCGGTACCCGCGGCGGTTAACGGTTTCCGTGCGCGGCAGGGAGGGTCCTCGCGGGCGGGAGCCGTTGTAGTCGCCGCGCTGGGCGTGCCCCAACGGCTTCGGGTTTTCCCCTCCCTGGGAGCGCGTATTGCCGGGGAGCTTCTGCAGCGAAGCCAAGGGCTGAGGGGCGGCCGTGCGTGGCTGTGCCGCGGGGGAGCTGGAAGCGGGAGTCCCGCAGGGAAATTACTGCCCAGGCGAAGTAACGTGACCCTGACACAGTTTGATTATCGCACGTTTAGGGCCCGAGGGTGACAGCGGCAGTTGCGTGGTATGCGGTGGGGGAAGCATTCGCGTTCCTTAGTCTTCAGATGGTGAGTGTAGAGGTAAAACGTTGTGGAGACTCGGCTGTGTAGCAGCGGTGTCTCGGCCGTGGCAGGTCCCCGGGTGCTGCAGTTACTTTGCTACAAAACCTGAGTACCAGCAGAGATGAGCAGTGCTCCTAAAGTGCGATGCCTGACACAGTGGTCTTTCCCGTCAAAGATATAATGCATAGTGCAACTTCTGTATCTTAGAGTTTAACTTAGGCTCAAACCGCGTATTTTTGTCAGCTGCATGCTCTACCCTGCCCTTCCAAGAAGTAATGTTTATACAGCCTCGCATCAGTTTAAGCTGATTTAGCTTGTTGCTGGAACAGGACTCTACCCTCTCAAGAGGTTCCACTTCTCTCTTCCTCAGATGCCCAGTTTCTGTGTGTGATTTCATGGTTCAAGGAGCTTTTCTGGCTAAAAAAAAAAAATAAATATTTGTGTTGGGGTTGGGTTTTAGCCAGTTCACTGTGCAGCAATACAAGTGTCAGTGTGAAGTAAAAGGCTAGGATTAAGATGTTGTAGGGTAGGAGCATAGGAATGATGATACAGTCCAGACTAAGCAAATGTACAGAGTAATGCATTGGGTGTCTGTTCCTTCTCTTTTGTCCTAATTTCTTTTGGTCTCCTGATTGGCTTTGTCTGTAAGTAATCTTAAAAAAAATATTAAGACTGTTCTAAATTCCTCAGCATCAGAAAAGATGTGCCATTAATAGTATTCCTCAGTCAAAAGCTGCAATATGAATTCAAATCTTACTGAACAGAGACCTCTTTCTGATGCTTGTTTTACCTAGAGTTTTGATCTTATTAGCATTTTAGTAATCCAGATGAGACATAATGCCACAGGAAATGTGGTTTCATTACTCTGCTCCTCACCACAGTAATTGGTTTGCATTTGCTCAATATATGATCCCATTGTCTTAATCTGTTGCAGACTTCAGTCATGCAAATTCTGACTACAGCATTCTAAATTAACTATTGCTCCAGTGTTTACTGGCTGTTGATAAGCATGTTATCCCTGGCAGAATATTATGGTGTCTCTGACCTGTGACAACATATCTAGATTAATGACAAAATTATCAGAAACATGCTAAATTCAAGGATGCAACTTATGGTGGATGGTACCAATTTTTTCTGAGTACAGTACTTGAGCATCATTATGAAATCTAGTTTGTTTTACACGTAGCTTCCATGACTGTCTGTTGCACCTGGGAGTATTGAGATCACATTTGCAGAAATATGTGTCTAACTGAACTCTTAGAAAATGAAGAAAAAAAACACTGTATTTCTTTGGAAAGTTTGACTTAGTTTTTGTGATTTGGCTAGCAGCCCCCAGGAACTCTGCAATAGAGGTCGGGATAGGATTTAGTTCTGCTTAGTGGTTTCAGCTCTCACCTGCCTTTAACATTCCATACCTCATGGTTACCTACATTTCTGTTTCTGCAAAAAGTGAGAGCATTCATTAGGTAATGTCTGACTCAGTATGAGTCCTTCCTTGTCCCTCAGGTATGTGTTGTGTATTTAATTGGTAACCTACTTGGGGAAAGACAAGTCTGTCAGTTTCTCTACAGACCAGCTGTTGCATTAGATCCCATTGTATTTCTTTGCTCATAGGTTTGATTATCATGGTATGAAGAGATAATGCATACTATGATAATGCTTAAAACTCTTAGTTATGTCTGCGGTGAGACTGAGATAATATGGAAATGATTACTTGAAGCTGGGATGGGATGATACTGGCCCTGAAAGGCATCATGACACTGATATCTCTGTGCACTCTCTTGTGTTAGTTCTTTTTTTTTTTTGTGTATGCTAGCATAAGTGTCAGGCCATAATTAAAGCAGGATTTAGCTGTGGTCCAAGTTAATGCTAGCCGAGTTGCCTTTTGTAACTTAGTTTAAACCCAGGTCAGTTAGTTCCTTGATGTTTTGTTGTTTTGTTTTTAATGTTGTTGGGTAGGGTTGCTTTGCTTCAGTAGCTTTGGTATGTAATTTGTAGTTGCTACAGAGGGATTTTTTGGCATTTGTTTTTGTTTTCTTTTTAACTCAAAGACTTCATGTTTGGCACTTTAGTTTTGTGAGGGTTTTGGTTTCTGTTTGCTTGTTTCTACTATTTCTGGATGTTTAATATCAACATCTTTTCATCTCTAAATCATTTCAGTGGCCTGTCCATGCATCTTTGAGTTTTATGTATGTTTCAGTCTGGTTCTGTTTGTCTTTCATTCTTACGTTTTGCATTTTTCTTCTGTTTTTAGCTCTTTTCACCAATACCTATACTACTACACCATTTGGGGAAAGGTGATCGAGCAGCACTGAAAAGACAAGCGGTCATTTGCTTGCTGGAGTAGGTTGATCAAATGAAAGGGTTTCAAAAGAAAGAAAATTTTTAAGCCATAATTACTTTAAATATATTTCTCCATTGGTTATTGGAAATAAGTTCTTTATGATGCTTGGGTTTACTTTGGTGCATAAAAGCAGCTTACTATAGTAATGTAACTTCTGATGCAGGGTTAGACACACAGTTGGACGTTTCTGCATGTAAATCATTATGAAAGCTGAGCTCAAATTGCTCGAAAGCTCAGTAAGTGCTTTTAACTTCCTACAAATACCTGCTGCCAAATGCCTGATAATTTTGTGTAGAAAGAAGCAAAGAAGAAATCCTGGTGAAAGAATTCTGAATGGTGAACACAACGGCTTTTAAGTTAAAAAGAGCACCTCCAATCTTGGTTTTCTAATCTGATCTTTTCACAGTACTGCTCTGTCTCCAACTATCTTTCTGTGCAACGCATTTTTCTGCACGTGCGTTTATCCATTTAATGGATCTATAATACATCCTACTGTCTTACTGAAAATCATAAGTTGTAGTCTATACCATACAACCCAGTGCATGCATTGACTCTCAGAGAGCAATTAGTTTGGTGAAGTTTTTCTCATTTTAGAGGATTGTCAGTTCAGTTTTCAAACAGAAATTAAGCATTCTCTTACACTGATAAATGGTTCCAATGACTTGATAAACCAGCCTACTTAGTAGGTTTTACTTACTAAATGTGTAATTCACTTCATGGTAAAAGCCTTATTTGAAATATATAAACCTAAAATATTTCTTAATCACACTTCTTTAATTTATAATTTCCTGTCAAGGCTAACTGGAAACATCTAAATATCTATGTCATTATATTTTTTGTGTCAGTGGAGTTAATGCAATGAAATTACTAACTTAGCACAAGAAATGCAGTTACATCTTCATTCAAGTCGCATGTGAAAAATAATCTTGATGGCTTAATTTTTTTTATTTTTTTTTTTTCAGGACCACAAATTAATCACAGAATCTGGCAGTTTGTGCTTTCTACCTGAAAGACAGATAGGTATTTAATATTGTTTGGTGCTGTATACGGTATTGCTCCATATTGTTAACGCTTCTGAGAAGCAAGAGAAATACTCAGCATTGCTTACAGGACTATGTTGCAGTTTCTTAAAGATTATAAGTGAATAGCTGGAATTCTTTTATTCTTTTGTCATAAGTTTCTGAAAGTGTGTGAAGATTGCAGTTGAATGAACGAAGTTGTCCTCACATGTAAGAATTACTTCAGTTGTGACATGAAGGATTGCTTCACCTTGCCTGAATAAGTTATGTAAAGGACTATGATATGATAACTACTTCTGCCCCCACACACCTTTTTTAAACTACCCATTATTTGTTGTCAAGTCCTTCTAGACAAAATACTTTTGAGCAGGTTTTTTTTTGTTTTTTGTTTTTTTTTAAATGACTAACCAGTCTACAACAAAGACATTTTCATTTGTTGACTGACTTCAGAGGCAAGGCAGCTAGAATACATTAGGAAAAGGACGAAGTGCTTAGTGTAAAGCAGGTGGGTCTGTGTTTCTTGGAGCAGATTTCCTTACTGTTGAAGTCACCAGTCATGTTGATAAACCATGGGTCATGTATTCTAATCTCACAACTTCTTGACTGTCTGTGTAAAAGTGCCATTTTGAAGAAGGAATAATTTTCTTTCCCTGCATGAAAGCAGCCATGTTGAGCAATGGATGATGGAGGATAAAAGCTCTTGGGATGAGGAAGACTGTGGGCACCATCTTAGAGGAGACTAGTGCATGCTGCTGCATTGCCCCTACATCATTGTAGAAATGTGTTGCAAATAATTAGCTATGTTTCGGAAGTGAGGCATTTTCTGTATCTTCTGTTTCATGTGTTTATCCTTCTGCTGAGAGCTCCTGTAGCTACAGATTTTGGTGACTTTCTGCTTAGAGTCCACTGTACTACTGATACTCTGATACTGAAACTTATTTAAGGGAGAGCAGGGAAGGGTGTGGAAGACTGAGCTTTCTTTTCAGTATCAACTACCTGTAGAAACTGTCCTGATTTCTGATCATATTAGCCTTCCTCTAGTCCAGATGGAGCTGCTTTGTCTTTGCTACATGCTGGTTCCACAGAATTTTCCCTCTTTGTACCTGTTGCTCTGTCTGCTGTAGATTTGAGTGGTGTAGTTGCTGGTCAGCTAGGCTTGATTTGCCTGCCTTATTTCCTGTGGGCCAATGGGAGGCATGAGATTTGTGGTGAAGATCCTGAATATACAGGAAAATTCTGTGCATTGTAGGGTTGCACAGGTAATGTACGATTTCACGGAATACTTGAGGGTGGAAGGGACCACTTGAGGTCATCGAGTCTGACCTTCCTGCTCAAGTAGAGTCACCTAGAGCACATTTTTCAGGACTGTGGCTCTTGAATTCTTTCCAGGGAAGGAGACTCCACAACCTCTCTGGGCAGTGTATTCTAAAGCTCAGTCACTGTCACAGTAAAGAAGTTCTTCTTCATGTTCAGGTGTAACTTCCTGTGTTTTACTTTATCCCCATTGCCTCATGGCCCATTGGCTGGCATGACTGAGAAAGAGTCTGGCTCCATCCTTCTGACAGCCTCCCTTCAGATACTTATACACATTCATCCGATTCCCGCCTTAAGTCTTCTATAGGCTTCGGTGGCCCAGGTCCCTCAACCTTTCCTCATATGAGGGATGCTCTAGACCCTTAATTAGTCTGGTAGCCCTTTGCTGGACTTGCTCCAGGAGCTCCATGTCTCTCTTGTACTGGGGAGCCCAGGACTGGACACAGCATTCCAGGTGGGGTCTCACCAGGACTAAGTAGAGAGGGAGGATTACCTACCTCAGCCTGCTGGCAATGCTCTTCCTAATGTAGTCCAGGATACCATTGCCCTTCTTGGCCACAAGGGCACATTGCTGCTGACCCATGAACAGCCTGTCCACCAGGACCCCAGGTCCTTGTCTACAGAGCTACTTTCCAGCAGGTCAGCACCCATCCTGTCCTGGTGACTGGGGTTGTTCCTCCCCAGGTGCAGGACCCTCCACCTGTCTCTGTTGAATTTCAAAAGGTTCCCCTCTGCCCATCCCTCCAGCCTGTCTAGCTCCTCCTGAATAACAGCACAGCACTCCTCCCAGTTTTGTATTGTCAGCAAACTCGTGTCACTTTCTCTAGTTAGGGATAGAAAGATGATTGCAGGGCAGCAGCGGGCCAGCTGTAAGTAAGGCATTTGCCAGGCTATACAGTACCCTATTTGGGAAATTGGCAGAGAGGATTCTGTTCTTGCCTGCTTCATTACAGTTGCACTTTTCCTGACTGTTAACTCCCTCCCAGAGTAGGTAGAATACTAAATAAATGTCAACAAAAAAAAGTTTGTGCCTATGAGGCAGTTAAGTAATTCAACACGTACAAATAGTTCATGTTAGCTTGCATTGAACTTCAGTCAGTGAACATCACTGAAGTGCTAAAAGCTGCACCTAAATTAAGTTCATGAGTAGTCCTCTTGTTTACTTCTATACAGCTAATTAAAATGGGCCAAGAACCATTCTCTGGGCCTAAACAGTGTATGCCAGCTCGCAGTCCTAACAGCTAAACTCCTTTTTGCAGGGCAGCTATGCCCCAACTAGCTTTTTGGCTTCATTTACTAGTGTAAATGTATCTACTGACTGCATGACAATTGATTGATGTTTCTGAACAGACCCTCAGTTTGGTGAAGTCTTTCATAATCTGATGACAGCCAAATCCAAATCCTGGTGAATTGTTTCTTCTGGATTAGATGGGGGGGGGGGGGGCGGCCCAAAGGAAGACTTTTATGACCTATGGATTTCAGCTTCTTTCCCACCTCTTGGTCTTTTAAGAAATGGGCACAGAAGAACAGATCAGGATTTGACATGAATTGTTTGTGTAAGAGTAAAGAACCAGACCACTATTATAGTCATGCAGCCCTTATTCATTCCTGGAGCTTAGTCCATGCTGTGCCCTGAACAGGGTAGAGATCCTGTGGAAAATACAGCATGTGCTTGTATAGTTAGTGTGTGCTGGCTGAATTTACGTTTTATTTCCTAACTTCAGTGGTTCACAGTGTGGTTCCTTACATTAATTTGTTTAATCAAGAATAAATTCCACTTCCTGCCCTACCCTCCCAAAGCCAACAGATCTAGCGCTAATAGCTATAATACAGTTATTCTGAAACCAGGGCGGTTTTTTTCTTGATGTAGTATGTTTAATTGGAAAAAAATTGGTACTGAAGATTTGCCATTCAGTATTTCTGCGCAGCATCTTACTGGGAGCTGATCTTTGGTTTGATCTGAATACCAGTTCTGCAGTTAGGATTTGTAGAATTTAAGTCCATTAAACATTTCTTGTTTATGGAAGTAAAATTTCATATCCAAATGAATGTTTTGTCATATGCTTGAGTGTAAATAGTGGAGTTCTTCGAAGTTGTAAACGAGTACTGGTTTATAACTGTTCCTGCTGAAGCTGGATGCTGTAGGGAGAGTAACAGCAAGCTGTTTCTCTCTTCTAGTGTGTGTTGAAACCTCAGTGCCGTTTAAAAGTGGCTGCATTTAGATGCAAAAGTGAAACTGGGTTAAAATTAGCCAGTGGTACAATTCAGATAATGCTAGACCAGATAAAAGCGCTAGTCACCTGATAAGCAGAGGGGCGTCTAGCCTTACCTGTTTCTCTTTCTACATATGCTGATAGATTATGTACCTGTGAATGCTGAAGATGATGTGGAAGCAGTGATTATTGACAATGGAGAAAATGGACTGTCCACACAAAGCTGTGTGTCAATGGAACAAAACTCTGAAGTAAACAGTGGTGTTCACCATGTGGCTCAACTTGCCTATGGTAATTGTTCATTTTTACTGTAATGAATAGTTAATGGCTAGTTTTAATGCTGTATTGACAGTGCTGCTGTCTTGGATGCTTTCTGTATTACCCTTATTGTTAAAATGTGTTTTATTAGAAAGCTACCTTACAGAAACTGATTGGCAATGCATTTAAAAAGAGGGACCTTTTTAGTTATTACTTTAGAGGTCCTTATTAATAGTGAACCCATTGAAATATTACATTTTTACATTTTTTAAAATTTAATTATAAGTAAGTATACCTAGGAATGAATTAGCAAGCAAATTGGAAAATAAATGGCATGGAAGAACCTAACCCAGAAAATGAGGTTTTTAGGTAAACTGGCCAGTGCAATTCAGTGGAGCACTGCGGGTACTGATGTGCGGTGGTAGTAAGAAGGTTGTTTAAGGTGATAAATTACCAGCTGTAAGTAGCTTTTGCTGTTCGTCTTTAATTCACTGCATTTATTTTAACATGCAAGATGAAAGTCTCTCAAATCTTACCCAGTTCTCTGTTGGCCCAGACAAAAATTAATCATAGCTGTTAGGAGCATTTAGTAAGTCCAGTAGCAGTATTACCGAGTTTGCAAGGAAAATGACTGTAGCTAAGTGATGGCCCTTATTGGCCTTTTTGTTTGGCCAGTTGGTTTTATAGAGAATCTCATCAGTATTCCTCTTCAGCAGAGTCAAGTTACATTTCAGCTTCCTAGTGTTGGTAGGTGCTTCTGAGAACTTTTAATCTTTTTTGGTCTTCTACTTGAGAGTAGAGTATACTCTAATTTTTTGTACATTTGTGTCTGAAAACATATTTGGGGGAGGAGGATGGTTTGGATGGTTTACTTTGGGGTTTGAGTCTGTTTAAAAAAAATAATAATATTAAAAAAAATCCCACCTGAGAAACTGTCATAGACAGTTGCTCGTCTTGATTTCAGGGCAGGAACGATTATTTCTGTATCAACAGAAGAATCATGAGTGGGTATGATTGTTTTTTAAAAGGTAAAAGATGGTTTTGTCTTTTGACTTCAGGCTTACAGCTCCTGTTGTTGATCGTTAGCATTTGATATTGTCTAGTTAAAATTGAGTATAGTGAGATGTATGACTAAAACATGGCATAAGTTTATCTTGAATATAACTGTTTAACTTGACTCTTTGAACAGTATTTCTCTCATATTTTATTTAACCATCTTAGGCCAGTGACTTGTCAAGCAGTACCTTTTCTTCAGATCTGGTTCTGTCTGTCCAAACTGGTTTCTTTGACTTTTGTCTCATATCTTCTTGCCTACGGATACAGAGCTGTCAGAGCAGCCAGCTGCAGAACACTTCCATTGTGTTTTTACTTAGCCATTTATGCCCACAAACTCAGTATTACTTTTGCTGGCACTCTTCTTTTAGGTCATATTTGTGCCTAAATCTAAGTTTGGGAAGCTAATCAGAAATATGTTTAAAATATAATTAAACCAGGGAGCTGATGTTTCTCCAGGTAAAGTAGCATTCTGGTTTGTCTGCAGAAAGTATCTGAAGTTTGAGGGACTACACTGTGCCTGTGAGTTAATCCTCCTGCCCTGCACCCCTTCTACTTTCAACGTGTTCTCTTGCCTGTATTGCTGTTGGTCCCTCAGGGTGCTACTATCTCTCAGGTTCAGTTCTGGGGATGCTTAGTGCTAGGAGATGAGTGCTAGGTCTGTGTGGCGAAGACAGAGGGATGAGGTGATCTGGGAAACTCTTAAGCTGGGTGGGAGAGTAGGTAGGTTTTAATCTTCACCTAAGGGAATAAATATTAAGTTTAATATTAACTGCGTATGTATTTTTATTGCTGAGTATTGATTGTGATTTCAAAATGATGTTAACTGCACTAATCTAAAACTAACACAGTTCTTGCCTAGGTAGCATCTGTCAGCTCTGCCACAACATTTGTCTGGGCTCTTAATGAAATTTTTTTTTTTTCTTTTCTGATTAATCTGAATACATTACTATTTTTCTGTCCTGCCCGGCCCCTTCCTCTTAGAGTGCATAAAAGTAAAGTGATTGTCTTTGCTTTCCAGTATTTCTCTTAGCTTGTCCTTGTCCCATTGGATTTGATTTCTCTTCTGCTTTTGGGATATTAGTTCTACTTTCCAGTTGGGCCACAAAATAAGCTTCATTATTTTGCAGAAGCAGTAAGAAGTACCCTTGTAACTTCTTCTCATGCAGCCCCTTTTACTTGGAAAAAATTTATTGTAGGTATCCGCAAAACTCCCCCACCATACCTTTTCAGCTTAGGTTAAGCTGCAGAAAGCCCTTTCACAGCAGATAGTATGGTGGAAACTTGGTGTTGCCTTTTTATGCCAGCTATTTTTCCTTAGTTCTTTCAAAGTTTCCAAGGTCTTGTTTAGCTTCTTCAGCTTTCCTTGTCCATTAATATCTTCTGTTATATGTATCTTATTACCTATATAGTGTTTAGCCTGTCTATAGCTAATATACATAGAACTCAAGGGGAAGTAATTACTACTTTATTTTTTCTTTTTTTCTTCTTCCCTTCTTAAGTTTATATTTCTTTTAAAAAAGAGCTGCTATAGGCCCTTTCTGGAAAGTTTGAGGTAGAAGCCTGTGTATGACGGACAGGCAAAATTGGCAGTAGAGACACAACTTTTCCCTTAACAGTGAAGATCCTTTAATGTTCTTCAAAAGATAGATCTGGGCTTCAGGAGAATTAGGGCAGAGCTTTTTAACTGTGTGCCAGTCCCACACATAAGCGGTGGAAGTATTTTGTATACCACTTGTGGATATCTTGGGTTTGGTAGTCCTGACTACACTGAGTCAACAGAAACTACCTGTTGCAGAGTGTTTCAGTGACAAAGATGGGAGAGACCCCATAAGTGAAGGGAATGGACAGCTGAGGACGAAACAAATGGAAACTGTTTTACACTGTGGGTGTTTTGCCTGAATTTCAGTTAACTGGTCTTGTTGGGGTTCTGAGTTTTGTGACTTCGTGAAATTGGACATGGAAATGAGAACAGAGAATCAGCAGTGAAAAGCAAGGCAAATGAAAAGGAGGCTGGAGAGAGTTTGGAAGAAAGAATATTAAATTTATGATTTCAGCTCTAAATGAATTTAGTAAGTGTTTAATAATATGCTAGTAAACAAATTTCAAATAACTAAGCGGTTAGAAAGTAAGAAAAAAAATAAGGTGGCTGCATGCTTCTTTATAGTGAAATGTTTAACGCAATGCGAAGCCTTCTGATATGCTTTGCTTTCTCTCCATTTTTTTCAGGAAGCCAAGGCTTATCAGTGCTAGCTGAACGATTAACATCACATATGAGCCATTCTGCAAGTATGCAGAGAGGAAATGGTCACAGCCCTGAGAAAATGAATTTTGTGTTTTCACGTAATAAAAGAAAACGACTTGCCCCTACTCTAGTGGGACAGAATGTGGTATGTTTCCCAAAACAGTAGCCCTTTGTTTTGAGGCTGGTTACAATGTCATTGGGCATGTAATTTTTCCTTTACTTTTGTATGCTCATTTAGTGATATCCCAGTGAAGAAGTGGGGGTAGGATATCCATGTAGTGCATGGAAGCTTCCAGCAAGAGTAAAACCTTGTTTTGCTGGATACTGTGTGTGTGTAACAACAGCTAGTGTGCAACAGAGAGTAACTTGTACTGATTTCCCATGTAGATTCTGTTATTTTTCTCAGTAAAAATCTCTTTGTAGAATTTACGATAAGAGTTGAAACTTTATGTTGAATAAGGGTTTGCCTCCATCTGTCCAAAGACAGACTACATAGTTCTAACTTGAGATAGTGTGAAGCTTAGTTCACATCACTAAAATATTATTCTTAAATTCCAAAAGTCAGGCTGGCTCTTTAATTTTGCTTGTTGTGAAACAGAAAAACAACACCTCCGGATCGCCAACCTTCCCTTTTAAAAATAAGACCTGATTAAATATGACTTAGTTAAAAACCACACGAACAAACAGAAAACCCACAACAACAAGACTTGAAATCCATGATGTATGACGGATGGATGATTGATGGATGATGCATGATGCTCCCATCCAGTAAAAGAAAAATGTCAGAATTGTCCAGGTGGTGGCACTGTTGATTTCTGTCTCAAAGCAGCTTTTAGTCAGTAAAAAAATTACATTTTACACATTTTTACAGCTTCTGCATAGAAGTTATACCCATTGAAATAAATACACTTTTTGTTTTGCAATTGTTTTATTTAAATTAGTGTAACTATCTATAAGGAGTCTTATAATTACATGAGACTGGCTATAGAGAACATACATAGGTGAGAAAGTTCTGGCTTTAGAATAACCAAATAAAAATACATACTATTACATAAATTTACAAGAGGTTTATGTTGTGTTATGACCTAACCCCAGGTACATAAATGAGATGATTGTGTTAAATCTCACTTTCTTGGGCCCTTTTGTAACCAGGGAGGGCCTATAGCTGCAACTGAAAATGTCCTGGTTGGATTCCTAGAAGGTTCTCTCTGGTTCAAAACATTGAAAGTTCTTCATGTTATTTCCCAGTTGAGAACAAGGGAAGGAGAATATGAAGGTAGTGACAGTGTCATTTATGAGTATGAACCAGACTATAAATGTGTAAGTTAATTTTGACTGACTTTGAAAAGCTGCATTGGGGATGCATGTTTTGGGGTAGACTTAAATAATGTGTGAGGTTTGAAGGGTTTTAATGGCTTAATGTGGTATCCTAAGACTGCATATACTACTAGCTTACGCTCTTTTTTTATTATTTTAATGAAAAAGGGGAGCATTGTATCTGAAGCTTCCTACACTGAAGCTTCCTACACTGGAGATCAGCAGAAAATTCTAATGGAGGTCCTCAGTTATTGCCAGGTATTTCTTTTATTTTTTTTTTTTCTCCAAAATGGCATTTAAACCATTTTAGTTGAATTTCAGGAAGATTTGCATTCTATAGTCAATAACCTATGACTTCATCCTTTCTAGTTCTTCATTTGTTAGTTGCCTGCTCAGTATTTTCAATGAAAAAAAAAAAATCTACTTTGTATTTTCTTAAGTTTTCACATCATAGCTGGCAAGAATTCTGTTCAAATATTAAGCTTCAATACAAATTGTAAATTCTAGTGATTACTGGAATGACTTCATGGTAATGGGGAAGATCTGACTGTCATACACACCCAATTTTTGAAAGTACACGAGGCTTGCCAAAAGTATGCCGAAATCCTGGTAGTGGGGTTTTGGTGAGTTCTTTGCTTTTGACTTCTGAAGCAATAGTTGGCAAGATTGAAAATGAGTGCACCAAAAATTAAAAGCATCCCATATTTATTCAGGTGAGGAATTATGTTGCTATGGAGTCATAATATTCGTGAAAGATACTTAGACCAAGCTTTAGGGAGAATAATTTGTCAGTGGCTTGTAGCCAAGTATTAATGTCTTGCAAGATGAAGCAGACTGTGTGACTTACATTATTGCTGCTAGTCTGGGAACGTGTGCTGCAGCAAGTAGTGCTAATGAGAAGCTGTAGCCTCTTTTGATGCCTACTAGGCTGTTTCCATCTCCTTCACTCCACTGTTATGCCCTCTTCCCAGTAAGTCTGCCCTACAGCTACATGAAGCCTTTTAATAATGCCTGTACTGTCCATACCAATTTAAGGACTTTTAGTGCTTGGGATATTTATACATTTTGGAAACGTTGATAGCTTCTTTTGTCTGAGGATAATTCTTTTTAAAAAAAGATAGCTATTGTATTGAAACCTAACTGTTGGTTTTGATAGAACTTCAAATTATTTTCAATTTATCTACTACATGTTCATCTAGCAATTTTTTTCATATCCATATGTATTTTTAAAAATTTATTTAGTTATGCTGTAGATCAACAAAAGATATTGCTTTGCTTAGTTGAAGACACGTTTCCTCTTTGTAACTCATATGTTTATAATTTCCTTGTGTGTTTTTTGCAGAAATAGCTGATGACATGTATGTGATAGATATTTTCAAGTTGTCAGTGTCCTTTCAGTATTAGATAAATATTCTGTTATCTAATTCCTTTATATTCTTATGGCACAGAATGTATGTCTAAGTTGCCGTTTAAGCATTGTGTTTGAGTTGCTAAATCCTGGAAACATTGAAGAAGGAACTTTCTATATCACACAGTAATGTATAGTAATAACTGATGGACTTTGAATGCTTTGTCTTATCTGGTTTTTATGTCTGAAAATTTGGGCCTCCACAATAATACTTTTTAAGTGTGTCTGATTACTTTAGTAAGGCAACACGAATTCTTAACATCTGAAAGAAAGCTTCACCTTGGGGATTGACTGAAGATCAGATGCTTTCAATAAATTCTTTTTCAAGTTTTTTATTTTTGATTCTGTGATTATTAAAAATGTGTATGCAGTTGATTGCAATGCCATGTTTGTTCTGGAAGGCATTGCTGACTTGACTTCTTTAGACACCATTTACATCTCATTTTCACAGAATCACAAGATGGTTGAGGCTGGAAGGGACCTCTGCAGACTATCTTGTCCAAACCCCATACTCAAGCAGGACCACCTAGGGATGGTTACCCAGAACCATGTTCTGATGGCTTTTGAATATCTCCAAGAAGTGAGTTTCCACAACCTCCCTGGGCAGCCTGTGACAGGGCTCAGTCACCCTCACAGGGAAAAAGTATTTCCTGATGTTCAGAGGGAACCTGGAACCTCCTGTGTTTCAGTTGGTGCCCATTGCCTCTGGTCCTGCCACTGGGGACCGCTAGAAGAGAAGATCCTGACTCCATCCTCTTTGCACCCTCCCTTCAGGTGTTTATACATTGATGAGATCCCCCTGAGCTTTCTCTTTTGCAGTCTGAACAGTCCTGGTTCTCTCAGCCTCTCCTCACGGGAGACGTGTTCTAGCCCATCCTCTTTGTGGCCCTTCATTGGACTTTGTTCAGTATGTGCACATCTCTGTTGTATTGCAGAGCTCAGGCCTAGACCCAGCACTCCAACTGTAGCTTCACAAGTGCTAAGAGGGAGATGATCGCTTCCCTTGACCTGCTGACAATATTTTGTGTAATGCAGCCCAGGGTACCATTAGTCACCTTTGTGGCAAGGGCACTCGTATTCAACTTGGTAACCCCTAAGAGATCCCAGATCCTTTTCTGCCAAGCTGCTTTCCAGCTAGATGGCTCCCAGCATGTCCTGGTGTCTGGGGTTGTTCCTCCCTAGGTGTGGGGCTTTGCACTTCCACTTGTTGACCTTCATGATGTTTCTGTCAGCCCATTTTTCCTGCCTGTTGACATCTGTCTGGATGGCAGCATGACCCCCTGGTATATGAGCCGCTCTTGCAGGTCTGATGTCATCTGTAAACTTGCTGAGGGTATGCTCTGCCCATCGTACAGATCGTTAATGAAGATGTTAAACAGAATCAGACCCAGTATTGACTCCTGGTGTACTCAGCTAGTTACCGGCCTTCATCTAGACTTTATGCTGCTGATGACCACTTTCTGGGTGTGGCTGTCTGCTCAGTTTCCAATCCATCTCCTTGGCCTAAGGGCCAATCTTGCTCATAAAGAGGGAGGCAAAGATAGCACTGAATCCCTCACTGTTTTCTGTGTCCTCTGTCACCAGGTCCCCCCCTCATATCACATTGGGCCCACATTTTTCCTAGCCTTTCTTTTGTCACGTGTGAACTTATGGAAGCCCTTCTTGTTGTCTTTGACATTACTGGACACACACAATTCCAGTTAGGATTTTTACTTTACAAATAGTATTTTTATAAATATATTTCCCATTGGTAATATAGAAATCCATTTCAGTTTTCCGCCTGTAAGCCTTCTACCTGTGTACTTGGAAGCTTGTCGTGACTTAATAATATATTATAGCTGATTTGCCTTAGAACTTGTCAGTGTCTTTTCAATGTAAAATAAAATGTACCAAATAGGTACAAATAAAACATCTGCTGGAAGCAGGAAGAGCAACATTTAAGTGTCAGCCACATTAATGTCACAAGAATAAACTTCTCTGATAATTCTTTTTATTGTGTGATATTTACTACTGTTTTTTGGATTTTGTATCTAAATTGATCTTTAATATGCTTACAGAATGTATATATTACCTAAAGATCTTGCCTAATTTTTGAGAAAGAATTTTACTCTTAATTCAACTTTCTTGATTTATTCAGATTTAAATTGGGTTCTTGTGGAACAATACTGTCCTAACTCTTGTGTGTGTTGTCAGGCTATGTATGATGCAATTCAGAACTTGGATAAAAAATTTGACCTGCTTCATCGTGAGGTCTCAGAAATGCAGCATTCTCGTGTAAAGCCACTGTTGCTCAAACCTGTGAGTATTAAAAACCTAAGGCCTTTTTTTGTGCTTTCAGTCTCTCACTTCCTCTAATGCTTATTAAAAAAAAAAATCCTCTCACTAAGATTAAAAATAATAGCGAAGTTGTAGACTTAAAATCCATTTCAATTAAATTATTCTTGATTTCTTACTGTACGCCAGCTTCAGTCTCCTGTGTTGTTATTGACTAGTGGTCACTGAGTGGCACCCATCAAATTCAGGATGCCATAAAATTCTATTTGTATTGAAATGAACAGAAATGAATTGTGTAGGTTACATCTGAAACTTGAATAGATTGGTGGTGTTGCTGTATAAGATGTGGTCTACTTTCTTGTTGGTTTCTGCAATGAGAAGAGAGTTTATGCGTCACTCACACAGGCTGGTTCAATTGACTAACCAATTTTTAGATCTCAGCAGTGCGGTGTCATATTCATTATGGTATAGATTTTTCTTCTTTTAATAAGAAGAGAAGGCTGTGTGGAGACCTCCTAGCAGCCTTCCAGTATCTGAAGGGTGGCTATAGGGATGCTGGGGAGGGACTATTCATTAGGGACTGTAGGGGTAGGACAAGGGGTAACAGGTTCAAACTTAAACAGGGGAAGTTTAGGTTGGATATAAGGAAGAAGTTCTTTACTGTAAGGGTGGTGAGGCACAGGAATGCGTTACCCAGGGAGGTTGTGAATGCTCGATTCCTGGTGGTGTTCAAGGCCAGGTTGGACAGAACAAGGGGGATATGGTTGAGGGATACGGTTTAGTGTAAAGTGTCCCTGCCCGCGGCAGGGGAGTTGGAACTAGATGATCTTAAGGTCCTTTCCAACCCTAACTATTCTATTGATTCCAAAATGCCTTTTTTTTTCCCCAGTTTTTTTAAGAAAGTTTGCTATTAAGTGTACATTGTCCGTTTTGTTCCTATATGGTCAATCCACTTTTAACTAATAAGACAGAATATCAGTACTTATAACTATGCTCTTTTAAAGGAAAACATAACAGATGATTTTTGAAGAAGGCCATAAAATCCATAATGACCTTTCTTCATCAACAATATTGCAAAGCTTTTAATGTGGCAGAGGTGATTCTGCTGTCAGGAGATGCCAAGACAGCTGTATGGCCATTTGCTTTAGGGGTGGTTAAAAGTGATGGCACCCTTGTGCATGTTGTATAGGGTGCTACATTTTATTTGGGAATGCATTTTTGTCGACAGCTCTAAGCTTGTACTGTCCACACATCCAAAAATATGAGATTCAGGGAACAAACTGGGCTTGTCAGCTACACTTGGATCCTGTGACATCTGTGCTCTTACCCTCCCCTCTGATCATGTGGGATGGCAGCTGCTTTAATGTCCAGATTAAAAGTGTCCTGAACTGCAGGGTTTTTTTCCTGAGGAAGACTTTCCTTTTATCACTATAAGGTGAAAGGGGGAAGCCAGCAAATGGAGCCTGTCAACCATTTTTTTAGGTTCTTTAAAACCATCAGGAATGCTGTAGGTTGTTCCTTTTTTTTTTTTTTTTATTTTTTATTTTGTAAATAGTTGTACCATTTTTGTATGTGTGATGGCCTAAGGATATAAATAAGGAAAGGTTGGTAGTAAAGTTTGTTTTGTTTTGTTTTTCATTAGATCAACTCCAATAGTTGGAGAAGTGGACAAACTTTCTGGCATGTAAGCCTTTCTTTAGGTAATATTTTTAATGGCTACCAGGGTGGAATAAAATCGGATTTCTGTAAACAAAAAATCACAAACAAAACAAAGATACAAAAAGTAAAACAAAAGAAACAGCAAAATTAAAGCCATGCCTGCCAGCTACATTTGGTAGCTCCTGCTCCATGACTTGTATTTTGAACTAGAACACGTGCTTTAGTGTGCATATGTTTCTTAGTGAAAGTACCCCAAGCCTTGGAAAACATAGCCGCTTTGTCTGTCTTAGTCTCTTTTGAATCTTCCATTGTAGATGAGATCTGAAGTTTAATGATTTGAGCTAGTAAGTGAAGAATGAAGAGGAAGCCAGCCAGGAGAGAAAGTGAATTGTTTCCCTTCTTGTGCAAAGAGAAGCTAACGTGGCAGTGAGACATTCCTTGAGAATTCAGCAGACTGGGTCAATGGCTGGCTGACAGATTTTAAATGTTATTTGGCTGTTCTTTTTTTTCATCAAGTTCATTTTAAGAGCCTTTATGAAGCTGCCTTTCTCATTATATATTTCCCTGGCTTTTTAGAAAGTAATTGCACCAACATCTCAGGTGGAAGCAAATTGAGAAATGTTGAAGCTGACCAGATAAACTCTTAGTGTTGGTACTACAAGCAAGAATAAAAGAAAATAAAGGGAAAGCTAAAAACTAATAGTACTAGCTTCATAACAATTAATACTGCAATTAAGAGTCTGTTGCCAATAGCATAATTACTAAAATGTAGTCTTCCTAGTTTGCAAAAGAAAAAAATTACCAGATATGTCTAATACAACATTTTAATTGTTTTCTGAATCAAATTTGCAGAAACCAGTTGGATTTACATACAGAAGTTCCAGTCATCTGCCCCAGGGAAAAATAGGAGTACAAAAATCCATGGAAAGGGAACCAAGTCTTCATCTTTCTTCACCACGACAGGGAAGACAGAGCCCAGTCATAAGGGTTGCTTTACAAAACAGCCATGTTCATGTCAATTCCACAATAAAACATGTTCAACAGAGTCTTCAGCTTGAATCACAGCAGCCTGTTCACAGGCAGAGCCCACCACTTCCCACTATAGTTTCTGCGCATTCATTGCATTCATCATGCACAACAAACAAAAGGATGCCTGACCTTTCTGCACAATCAAATTTTGTAGCAAGTGTTGTGGAAAGTACTGTCCATGTTGCATCTTCACCAGTGGCATCATCATTCATGCCAGCACCATCTGAGGCCAGTCCGGGAAATAATGTGATGGTGGTGAACTACAGAAATGCACCTGGGAGTGTGAACATTAGTAATGAACTACCATCGTCTTCAGTCTCCATCAATCCTAGTTTTGGTGAGTTCCTTTGTAATAAATACTCAGAAACAAAGGCTAAAATACCTCTGCTTGTATAAAAAAAAAATATGCCTAACAAAATCTCTATCATTATTTAGCAAAGGAGCTGAACTGGCTGCCTTACAAGCATTTCTGTAATGGAATACTGTTTAAAATGCTTGAAGCAAAGGTCAGGGGAATGTTTAACAGCCATGGATTGCATAAAAATCTCTGCAGTGTACCTACAGTTGTATAGACTACCACAAACTACAGTACATCCTTTGGGTTCTTTTAAGACTAGGCCCTCTTTCTGTCTTGATATGCTTGATGTGACCTATTTTTAACTTGTGTGTATGGCACAAGTAATGCATGCATGCTATATGTATGTTTACAAAGACATAAGAGATTGCCATTAAAGGTGAGGCACATGCCTGTATACATGTTTTGCATTTAAGAAAGCAACTTGCCTGAGTTGTCTGAAGGAAATACTGTTTTCTTCTTGTGGAGGATTTTGTTTATGCAAAATCGTTTCTATCCTCACATCCTCCAATGTTTAGTCTCTTTCAAAATACTGAATTCCACAGAAAATGAAGAATTCTGTAGATTGTTGCATTATAATAAACAGGCACATATAAAATAGCACTATGTTTTTAAAACTAATGCATTTCTTTCTCAAGTATAAATATCAAATTATGTAGAAGGCTAAGCTATGAGGCTTTGTTTGCTTTTGGTCTAAACAATAGTTCAGCTGCATGAATAGTAGATGAAATACTTAGATATCTGTGAATTTGTAAACAGTGTGTGTTTTAGCCGTACTATGTATGGATTATGCCATTCTTCATAGGCCATTGTCTTGAAAACATGCAATTCTGTAAAATAGGCCAGTCTGAATATTTTGAACTCTTACATGTCTAATGCATTTTCTTAGGTGTCATTTCTGTTAGTTGGTGGTTAACATGAATAAGAAAGATATTTTTTGTACCATTCCAATTTAAAGTTGCTTTTGTAAGAGTAAAGATAAGTAATACATAGTGGAGTTATGTGTAGTAGAAAACGTTGACCAGAGTACCTCATAACTCAAGAGAGAGTTTGAAAAAATATTCTTTTTTAACAACTTGCATGGGGTTTTTAATTATTATTTTTTCTTAAATGTTCTTGTTTTACAAAAGAATTTGTTGGTGACCCAGTGAGAAATGTCAGAGTTCCTGGCACCTATCTGATGAAAGCTCGGCAAAAGACTAAACCAAAATATGCAGCACGCTACTTAGTTCGTGTCTTGTTCCCCAAGGAAACGTTGTTGTGCAGCATTATGGGAGTGAGTGCACGAGGGCGCAGAACACTGGATCCAAACAAAATTGCTGCAGTGAGAGGTATGCTGCTACCTTTTGAAATACACAGCTTTACTTATTCAATACTTAACTAAGTTTCTAATTTACAAGAGTCTTTCTCTGTATGTTTCTGCTAATCATTATCTAGCAACTGGTGAACTGATAAAGACAGTAGTGGGTGTCCAGCTCCGCTCCACTCTCTTTTGGTTTTGAAATTCGTGCTTCGTAGTTCTCAATACTCATTTTTCTCCAGTGTGGATAAACTAATTCTGATTTCTCCTACCTTTGTATATTTCATGTTCATCAGTCATGCTGACTCTAAGTTTTTCATTGCAACTTATTCTGTGTTTGTGTGGCATGGATTTTGTGGTGAGTTTTTGGTCATGGTATACTTTGGATTCGCATTAACTGGTGATTCTTAAATACTCTTTCTTTTAAGTTCTGTTCACTTCTCTTGTTTGAGAAATGGGAAAGATGGGAGGACAATTTTTTAATTTTTTTTTTCCCCAGTGTCAAGCCCTTTCTTTACAAAAATCCCCTGGCACATACGTGTGAAACCATACACCTCCTTCTTCCTGTTTAAAAGGTGGGAGGTTATTTAAGCCATGTGAAGTAATTGCACCATCAGCATTACCTTGTCTCTTGTTTTTTTTAATTTTTTTTTTAGTAGGGGGTGGGGTTGTTGGTGCTTTGGTTTTTTTAAGTTAGTATGGTAAATCACACCTTTCCTCTGATTCTACCAGAAAATGCTTAGTAATAGAAGCATTATTCACAACACTGCAAAAAAAGTATCGCTGCACATGTTAATTTCATAGTGCTGCTTAGCTTCAAAACACAAGTTTACTATCTCTCTGTAGCTAAAGCTGGCAATCTAAAGCTTCTAAATAAGGAATATTAAACATGAAGCATTTCTTTCTAAATTCCTCTTTCTATATGAGATTATTTTTAAACATCACTTTTTTTCACAAGGCTTAAAACGTTTTGTTTTGTATGCAGAATTTCTTGCAACTAATTTTCCAAACTATGATTTGAGTGAACATGGAAAAGACTGGAAAACCTGTATCACAAATGTCAATGCTATGATCCGCTGCTTACGCTCTGAAACGAAAATAAACCCAGTAAGTTATCTCAAGGTGATGCTATATTAAGTACTAAATTAGTGCTTCTTTCTCAAGTTATTGGAATTTCTCATCATAGGAGTGCTCTAATTGAAAATTCCTTGGGTTCTTGCTTTGCATTGCTCAGCATAGGCCTGCTGACTGCAGCACTAGTTCCATATGGTGAATACTTGAAGCATATCCCTTTCTCTTGCTCTGCATCTTCCTGTTCCTGTGTCCAGCATTCAGTTAAGAGCTGTGTACACATAGGATGCTAAAAGGAAAGCACTGTAAATGTTGCCTAGAAATAGTGTCAGATTTGATTGCAAGCTTAAACATGTAGTTACTAGCACCATTTTCACAGGATTTCCTTCAAATATATCCAGCTATGTATTTCAAGTTTATATTGTCTGAAACATCACTCCTAGAACACCTGTAACTCCCATTTACCTGTGCTTCTAAAAAGCTTTGTGCAAGTCTGTGAATATTTAGTATCTGTTTCCCCTGTGGTTTTCATGATTGAAATTCAGGAGTAACTGTATTGTAAATATCTGGAATCTAATTTATACTAAATGGGAAATGAACTGGAGCACTACTTAGAAAACTGGTAGGCTTCTCCCAGTGTATGTGCTAACCTCATGTAATTTTCAGGAGACTGCTGAAGGGAAGGAAAAAGTGACTGATACTCCAGATAAATCTCATTGTGTAGATTTAAATTGTAATGAGGATAGTGAAGGCAATTCTCAAAACTCTCAGAAAATGGCCACAACTGACATGTTGCAGGATTTGGGATTGGAAAGGTTTCCAGAAGTTTTCCACGCACCTTCGATCAAGAAACCGCAGTCTTTGGAACCTATGGGTAAACTAAGAAATGTTCATCTTCTGGATTTGTGTTACATTTTAAATGGTCAGTGAGAGGCAGAAGATGCTACTGTAGGTGAAATTGTGTAGTATAGGGATTTGATGAACTGTGGGACTTTTAAAGCAGTGACTTGGTGTACATATGGTAGGTCTTCATGAGAGCAAACTAATGGTTGGCCTCTACCAATGTCCCAGGGGGCATCCACTCTAAGACTGGAAAGTTCATCTGTAAGATATTCTGCTGAGTTTCACTGAATAATTAGTTTTCAAGAATTGTTTCATAGTTGCCCTAATTTTGGTTGGGTGTGGTGGGGTTTTGTTTTTGGGGGGATTTTTTGGTAGATATTCTACCTGAATGGAGTAAACTGGCTCAGATTATCTGTTGAATGGTATTGCAGTTTCAGAAGAAAAGCATGTTTCTGTAAAACTGACTGTTTAGGACAATAAAAATCTTAAAGCAGCCTTTATAACTTTTTTTTTTTAAATAAAAATGCACAAGATACAAATGCATGGGAAAAAAATTCCACATACAGCATGTGATGCTCTAGAGAGTTTACAGGAAAATAAACTGAGATTAGTTGACCTTTGAAATAATTTATTTGATTAGAATCACTTTGGGGCTCTATCAGACCTGCTCCTGGACCCAACATTTATTAGTCTGATCCCACAGACATGAGTTACTATCCACATTTTATGTATTTTTTTAAAAAATGTTTTTAGTAGAGTCAGGTTGAAGTAGTTAAAGAAATCGATCCTGTTTTTCAGTTTCTACTTCCAGGATCTAAACACCATTGAAACGGCAGAACTTTTATTTAATTATCTAAGTGGAATAGCATCTTCTTTTGAGACTAAAACAATTTAGAAAGTGATCATTAATAATGCAGGTTCTATTGCTAGCACTGCTGAAAATATATCAGAAGTGCTGTTATGCTGCTGAGAAACAGGGAGGGTTTTTTGGCTACTTGGATATTTGTCTGCAACATGTTGTATTTTACTATTAGCTGTAGTGTTACAGTTTTACCCAGGTCTTGCCAAGCAAGTACAGTAGCTTTGGGAAGAGCTTTCTGTGCCCTAGTTTTACTGTAATACAGCCACTTTGAAGTATGGTTAATATTGGAGAAGTAAAATCTCTCTACCCCCCCTCTATCATTTTTAGAACTTCTTGGGAGTCCATGGCGCAATGTTCAGTTGCCTTTCTCAGTCATTTATGTAGCTAAGGGGAAGTCTCGGCCAGAGTTGTCAGCTCGCTACCTAATTCGTCATATGTTCACTGAAGATGTGCTGGTAAAAAGCAATGTATATGGTAATCTTGAACGTGGCATGAGCCCGCTGGACTGCAACAGAATTAATGCTCTCAGAGGTGAGTAAGAAAATCTCTTTTCAAATGATAATGTGGAGAAAATAACAGGAATGATTAATTTTGTGTCCTGTGAACAAACCACAGTTTCAGAAGTAAGTCTGTGTAACTACTCTGCAGGTATTAATGTAAGCAGTGGAACAAGTTGAGAGAAAGTAGATGGAGTTATATTAAAGCAATTCAAGGAAGTCTGTGTATCACAAATCTGGTTTGTATGACGAAACTTTAGTCTCTCTGGCATCTGCTTGGGGGGGCAGCACAGTGAGAGATGGAAGCAGTCCTGGAGGATTCTGGAGGGTGCTGGGGATAATTTTGTGATACAGGGGCTAGGTAGGTCAATCAGGGGTCGTGCACAGCAGGTTATGGCACTTTTGACAAAAAGGGTTGGAGTGTGATAATCAGTGGCAGTATTGTCTGTAGAGACTATGAAATAATGGACCTCAAGATCCTGAGTAGAGTTTAAAAAGGTGGGAATATAGACCATGTAATTTAGGAGACTAGACTTCAGTTTATTCAGGAAAACGCATAGGTGCGAGCTTGTAAGAGACAGCTCTGAGGTGAAGAGAAACTTGGGAAAGTTTGCAGGCCTTTAAGGACAGCTTTCTGCAAGCACAAGAGAGTCTATCCTGACACTTAGAAGAACTGATAGAGTTATGGGGGGCAAGTTTAGCTAAGCAAGGGATCCACAACTGAGCTCCAGTGTAAAAAAAAAAAAAAAAATAAAAAATAGAATTAGGGGAAAAAAAAGGAAAAAAGGCAGTACAGAGAGCATAGAAGCAAGGATAGCTTATGAAGCGGAATTTAGCAACTGTTGTGGTTTAACCTGCCAGGTATCTAAAACACCACACAGCCTCTCGCTCACCTCAAGTGTGTCACTCTGCAGTGAGATAGGGGAGAGTACTGGTGTACAGAATTAAAATTTGTGAGTTGAGATAGAGAGTAGGACAGAAACAGAAGGGAAAATAATGATGATAAAAGAATTAGAATATACAAAACAAATGATGCATAGAGCAGATGTTCTTCCCCTGCTGACTGAAGCCCAGCCAGTTCCTGAGCAGTAGTCCCCAGCCAGCTTTTCCCCTAGTTTATATACTGTGGATAACATCATATAGTATAGAATATCTGTTTGGGATATCAGTGGGTTATCAACATTATTTTCATCCTAAATTCAAATCACAGCGCTATACCAGATAACAGGAAGAAAAAAGGACAGCAACTTTACCTGAGAGTGTTGGAATGGTGTCAGTAAAGCCAAAACTCAGCCAGAGTTAATACTTGCCAGGAATGTCAAGGGCAGCTTCTACCGCAACATTAATCATAAAAAATTGATCAAGGAGTACGTGGGCCAGGTGCTGAATGGGGCAGGGAACTTAGTGACAGCAGAGTCAGATTGCGCAGGGGCGTTCAGTGTCTCCTCTACCTTAGTCTTCACCATGACTTCACTGAGGGAAAATCCTGCCTGACCAATTTGGTGGCCTTCTATGATGGGGCTACCGAACTGATGGACAGGGGTAGAGCAGTTGATGTCATCTGCCTGGACTTGTGCAAAGTGTTCGGCACTGTCACGCATGACATCCTTGTCTCTAAATTGGAGAGACATCAATTTGATGGATGGACCACTCGGTGGATAAAGAACTGGCTGGATGGCCGCATGCAAAGAGTTGTGGTCAATGGCTCAATGTCCAGCTGGAGACCAGTAACGAGTGGTGTCCCTCAGGGATCGGTGTTGGGACTGGTCTTGTTCAACATCTTTGTCGCTGACATGGACAGTGGGATTGAGTGCGCCCTCAGCAAGTTTGCCGATGACACCAAGCTGTGTGGTTCAGTTGATACGCTGGAGGGAAGGAATGCCATCCAGAGGAACCTTGACACGCTTGTGAAGTGGGCTGATGCCAACCTCATGAGGTTTAATCACAGGAAGTGCAAGGTCCTACACGTGGGTTGGAGCAATCCCAGGCACAGCTACAGGTTGGGCAGAGAAGAGATTCAGAGCAGCCCTGTGGAGAAGGACTTGGGGGTGTTGGCTGATGAGGAACTTAATATGAGCCGGCTTCAGTGTGTGCTCGCAGCCCAGAAAGCCAACCATATCCTGGGCTGCATCAAAAGGAGCGTGACCAGCAGGTCCAAGGAGGTGATCCTGCCCCTCTACTCTGCTCTTGTGAGACCTCACTTGGAGTATTGTGTGCAGTTCTGGCGTCCTCAACATAAAAAGGACATGGAACTGTTGGAACAAGTCCAGAGGAGGCCACGAGGATGTTCAGGGGACTGGAGCACCTGCCATATGAAGACAGGCTGAGGAAGTAGGGGCTGTTCAGCCTGGAGAAGAGAAGGCTGTGTGGAGACCTCCTAGCAGCCTTCCAGTATCTGAAGGGGGCCTGTAGGGATGTTGGGGAGCGACTCTTCATTAGGGACTGTAGGGATAGGATGAAGAGTAATGGGTTCAAACTTAAACAGGGGAAGTTTAGATTGGATATAAGGCAGAAGTTCTTACTGTAAGGGTGGTGAGGCACTGGAATGGGTTGCCCAGGGAAGTTTTCAGTGCTTCATCCCTGGCAGTGTTCAAGGCCAGGTTGGATGAAGCCTTGGATGGCATGGTTTGGTGTGAGGTGTCCCTGCCCATGGCAGGGGGGTTGGAACTAGATGATCCTTTCCCACCCTAACTGTTCTATGATTCTATGAAGGTTTCTCAGGCCTGTGGGTAGTGGTAGTTGGGAATAGTCAGCACTTTTTTACCTGGTCTGTTTAACATCTTTATGCCTTGGAGAAAATGGAGAACACACACCAAGTTTCATTTGACATTATTAGCAGGTACACAGCCAGGAGATCAAGGGAAAGTTTGCCCTCTGTTTAGCATTTATGAGTTTGCATTTGGATTACTGTGTCAGATTTTTGGTCCTCTAGTTCAAGAAAGAGATACTGATAAAGCTGGAAGGCCACCAGAAGGGACATGAAACTAGAGCACCTGCCCAGTGAGGAATCCGGGTTTACTTGGTCTAGAAAAGAGAAGGTTCTAAGGGACCTAGTAGCAGCCTGCCACTGTCTCTCTTCTCAGCAGACTCCTAGAGTCAAGCTGTTAGCAGCATTGAATGTGGGAGGTGAGAAACCACAGACATAAGTGGAAATCAGAGGTTCAGACTGAATATGAGCAGATTCCTTTTCCCCATGAGGACAGACAGTCCAGCACTGGAGCACATTGCTCCATGAGGTTGTGCCACCTCTGTCCTTTTTCCACACTTCAGTGAACAAAGCCCTGAACAATCTGGTCTGACCTTACAGTTGTCTGTGCTTTGGGCAGAAGCTTGGAGTAGAGACCTCCTAAGGTCCTTTACAGACTGACTTTGACTGGAAAGGAAAGGATTAAAGTGCCTTGCTCTTGTGAGGGATCAGAGATGGGCTGTCCCTGTTCACCTCAGAGGCTCCATAGAGAGAAAAGGTCTCAGCAAATTGCTTAGTTGTTTAGAAGCTGCAGTTGGGATTACAAGCAGCATTTTGAATTAGACCAGTTTGAGCTCTTTGAATAACAATTTTTTACTGAAGTGTGTCTTTTAAAATAACATGTGGCAGCCTGTTCCACTGTATGAACATGGACAGTTTCACAGTTTCCTCAGCTTATGTGTATCCAGGATTTCTTCAGGAAATTGGAATTATTCACCCTATTTGCAAATGCTATTCCAGAAGCAGAGGGAGAGTATGTTATGGTTGGAGTAGTAGCAGACGTTTTGCCTTCTGCATTGTTCTGGCTTCAGCATTAAGACTTCTGGAACACTGATCCATGTTCCCTCCCACCTCAGAGGGAGTCTTCTGTTAGTCTCATTTGGTCCCTCCTGCAAGGCTGGATAAAGACAGCAGAAATGTGACAAGTAGAATTAGCATAACAGTTACGTAGCAAGTGAGGAGGAACGTGAAGTAGGTTATAGGTAGAAAAGGGTGTATGGGTTATCACACAGAAGAAAACTTGGTATTATCTGGCAGAGATTTAAGCATGGCTACCATAAACAGTGGTGATGGGGGGAAAGATTATCAGGTTTTTGGTGGCCATATGCTCTGTGACTGTAACTGTATCTCAGAGAGTTCAACATACTTGAAAAGGTTTGGTTATGCAATATTGGAGATCTTTCCACCTTTAATTTTATGTGTTCTTGTCATATTTTTATTGTAAAAGTTTTTTTTTCTGTGAGAAATCTAAAGAGAAAATACGTGCATTCTCTAAGTTTTGCTTGGGGGATGTTATTTACTGGGCTGGATCCCAGGTGATAGGTAGTGTAATAGTGGAGTGCTTTCAACATTTCCCAACAGCCCTGGCTTGATGTAGGGTTTTACTTCCTCCTGTTTCCTCATGGTATCACTATGGGATAGTGATCACTAAGTTAGTAAGGTTGCATATTTGACTAGTTATGCTTGTCTGGACAGCAGTCTTGGTCATAGGATTTAGTTTTAGGGAGCACTGTGAGGAGAAGGGGATTGAACTAGATGATCCTTATGGGTCCCTTCTGACTGGAGTTTTTCTGTGATTCATCACACTTTTTTTGCAACATGCATGTCCTAACAAATCTTGAAACTGCTTCTCCTCCATGTCTGGAACACAGGGAGGTTGAAAGGGTCATTAACATCTGGACAGTGCAGCCTAACAGCTCTGCAGGTGTGGCAAGATTGCCTCTGAGGGCACAGCAGTAGTGCTAAATAAAATGTGGCTGGGGCTCTCACTCTCTGGGTTGGTATGGGGGTATGGCTTGAGAGAGAGAGCATGCCAGAAACCATTCCCAATATGGGAAGGCAATACATAAGAGTGGGCTTTCCCAGACTGTGCATATTCCTTCACCACTAGCCTGGGAAGCTTTGCCACTTTAAGCATCTCCAGATATACACATACTTTGTTTCGTGACATCTTGAGCTTAAGAAGCATTCAAAAGATGCAAGTGTGTCTTAGGGCCACAGGAACACCATGTAGGCTCCAGACCAGAAGAGAGACAAAGTCCTCTGTGTCATGGCTGCAGCTGTGCCATGTCACTTGGCTGTGGGGTCAGAGGGCAGTCCCCGATCCTGTTTTCTTTAACATTATAACATGGCCTGAATGTAACCCTGCTGAGCAGGAAGGGGCCCCCCATAGCCCCTACCACAGTCCCTACAATTGGTCCATTTCTGTGCCAGAAAAGGCATAATTTAAAAACTTGTTTTGTGGGCCATGTACAATGGTTCTGTTGGCCTGTGTTGTGGTTTAAGCCCAGCCATAACTCCGAACCATGCAGCCGCTTTCTCACTCCCCACCCCTTCCTCCCCCCCACTCGTGGAGGGATGGGGGGAGAATCGAAAGTGTAACTCCCATGGGTTGAGATAAGAACAGTCCAGTAACTAAGGTATAACACAAACCACTGCTGCTACCACCAATAATAATAACGATAAGGGAAATAATAAAGGAAGAGAATACAACCGCTCACCACCTGCTGACTGATACCCAGCCCGACTGAGCAGTGGTCTAACCCTTCTGTGTAACTGCCCCCAGTTTATACAGTGAACATGATGTGCTGTGGTATGGAATATCTCTTAGGTTAGTTTGGGTCAGGTGTCCTGTCTCTGCTTCCTCCCAGCTTCCCCTCCTCCCTGGCAGAGCATGAGACTCACAAAGTCCTTGGTCAGAGTAAACATCATTGAGCAGCAACTAAAAACGTTGGTGTTACTAGTGCTGTTCCCAGGCCAAAAGTCAAAACCACAGCACTGCACCAGCTACTAAGAAGGAGAAAAATGACTGCTACTGCTGAACCCAGGACAGCCTGGTATAAGGAATTCCTGCTATCTGTCGTAGCTCTGAGGCCAAGCATTTTATTGAATTCACTGCTGGGAATGGAAGGGAAGAGAAGGCAGCTGCTGTTTCATCCAACAGCTTGTGTGTCCTTTGTCAGCATAGTTTATTACAGGAGCAGCCTGGGAATAAAAGAACCCAAGGTGCTCTCCCTTTCCCCTTTGCCCCCACTGGAGCAGCGTAAAATGCAAGAGCACAAGTCTTTCTGAAGGAAGAAAAAAAACAGAGAGACCCATGCTGCAAGTTAAAATATCATCTGTAAATAATGATACTATATTAGATTTTTACATGCTAGTGTATGAGAGAGCAATGGAAGAACAAAACTGGCATAATATCAACTAGCTATACCTTTCATTCTGTTAAGGTAAATCTAGATGTTAATCAGAGAAGTAGAAATAGTATTGCATTTGATTTGAAATTATAGCTGAGGTTTCCTTTTGGTGCTTATTTATATCTTTTAAGGGCTTGCTTGAAGAAAACGTATAATTTAGCTAAGCTCAGAAAGGTGATCGCTCCTCAATAACTAAAAAATAATAAATCTGTTTTAAAAGCTACGTGTTTTACTTGTTGGGGGGGGGAAGTGCTGTAGTCTTACCTTATTTATCCTGTTACTACCAAACTCTAGTATCTGTTTATTGATCTTGTTGCAGTATGGTAAGGAGCAAGCTCATGCATTTTTTCTGTCACTGTTCCTCTAAAGCTGTGTTATGTTGAATTACTGTTTCATTTTAGTGACTATAGTTGTTGGAGATCTCTGAAGGAGAGATTGGTCCTGCTGAATAACAATCGTTTTGAAATGGAGCCTGAGATTTCTTTGCCCTGGTTGATCACATTAGAAGCTGAAATTATTCACTTAAAGGGATCAAACCCACATACATGGTTACATGCTTCTTTGCAAATTTTGCTTTTATGTTTAGACCTTTTGTTAGAGGTAGGGAGTATTTGCTCTCTAGCTTTGCTTTTCAAGCCTTATAATATGCCTAGCTGTCCTGTTTTGGTAGCGTGCACTTGTTATGGCTTAATTACATCAATAAAAGAGTATATAACTTCCATCAATGATTCATAACTCACTATTATGTACTTGATTATTTTTAGACTTTCTTCAAGAGAATTATCCATCCTTTGATCTAAAGGAAACTGGATATGATTGGAAGGCATGTGTTGCTGCCATAAACAGCACAATCCGCAGTCTCAGACATGATCATAAAAAAGCCACAGTTGGAATCCGCCAGAAGGTCTTGACCATGCCACCACTGAGGGCAAAGAGTCCTCCACAGAGTCCTACTTCAGTGAAGCCATTTGAAAGTGACAATATCAATCTCATGGACTGAAGCTCTTTACTATGCGTCTCAAATCCTAGTTTAGTGGTTTTATAAACCCCACATAGAAGCCTGTTGCATCAAGTTGTCCTATTATACTGAGTTGTCAGCCACATGGAATAGTATTATTTCATGAGACCAAAGTTAGCAGAAGACTTGGGAACTGTAACTTCTTTTAAAGTAGCATGTGTGCTCCTCACAAATTACTTCTACTGTTCCCTGCAGCATTTGCAATGTGCTCTCTCCTAAAAGCATTTCTTCTCCTCATGATTCATTGACTCTGAAACATTAATCTAATTAGAAGAGATGCACTGTGCATCAAGTCAGCAGAAGCAGATAGAAATGTGGAATGATTGGTCCTCCTCAGAGGTATACTTAGTAAAATTATCTCATGTGTGAGGAATGAAATTTGCTTTGACAGTTGGATATTTTAAGACAAAGTATCTAATGCAGAAAGGAAAAAAAATAAATCCTGCATCCAGCTGACTTGTTATGTTGCTCACCTTTTTTGCCTCCTAGAGCAGTCTTTGTTGTAGAATAAGGAAAGAGGCAGGCAGAAATGTAATTAGAGTTGGTAATATTTTCTTTGCTCTGATTTAGCTCTACAAAAGCACAGAGGAAGTATCCAGAACAAACAGTTTGATAGTTGGTTCTGTTTTTTCTTGATGAAAATTAAAGAAAATACTTCTTCAGGGCCTTGGTCTGCTGTTCAGTGATATATGTCTCATCAACTTGTGTGGATGTCTACAAGATGCAAATTTGTTGCAACTTTCGTCTAGAGGATTTGGATCCTAATACCAATTTGTGAAATACTAATTTCCGTCGCCTTCAAGTTGGACCTTCAGTTACAACTGAGAACACATGCTGTACTGTTGGTATGTAGTCAGAGATGATCAGCATCAGTGGTATGCCTTCTCAAGCTCATAATCATAGTTTTTAATACTCAGGTCAACAAGGCTAAAAGTGTTTTGCTGTCTGGGCAGGCTGGTGTTCTAAAGACTTGTGACCCTGCCTTTGTTAACTTAAAATTTTGAAAGATGTGTAGTGGTTATTTGCAGAGTCACAGAATGGTTGAGGTTGGAAGGGATATCTGGAGGCCATCAGATCCATTTTTCCTGCTCAGGCAGGACCACCTGGAGCCAGTTGTGTAGCACAGTGTCCAGACCAGTTTTTAATATCTCCAAGGTTGAAAACTCCACAACCTTCTGGGGCAGCTGCTGCAAGGGCTCAATCATTGTCACAGTGAAAAAGAAGTGTTTCCTGATGTTCAGATGGAACCTCATGTGTTTTGGTTTGTATCTATTGCTTCTGGTCCTGCCACTGGGCACCACTGAGAAAAGCATGGATCTGTCCTATTGGCTATATGTCCTTTTTGCAACCTCCCCTCAGATATTTATATATATTGATGAGATCCCTCTTGAGCCATTTCTTCTCCAGACTGAGCAGTCCCGGCTCTCTCAGCCTTTCCTCACAGGAGAGATGCTCCAGTCTTCATCAGCTTTATAGCCCTTTGGACTTTCTCCAGTATGTCTGTGCAGTCCTGTACTGGGTAGCCCAGAGCTGCACCCAGCACTCCATGTGTGGCCTCACAAGTGCTGAGAAGAGAAGAAGGGTCACCTCCTTGAGCCCTGCTGGCAACATTGTCCTAATGCAGCTCAGGGTACCCTTAGCCACCTTTGCAGCAAGAGCATGTGGCTGGCTCATGTTCAACTTAATGTCCACTAGAACATCCCATGGTACACTCTGCCTCATCACTGAGGTTGTTAATGAAGATGTTAAACAGGATCAGATCCAGTATTGATCCCTGGGGTCCTTTGCTAGTACCTTAGATGGTACCTTACTGGCCTTCATCTGGACTTTGTGCTGCTGATTACCACTCTCTGGGCCCTGACTTTTTTACAGTTTCCAGTCCACCTCACTGTCTGCTCATCCAGCCTATACATCAACAGCTTGTGTGTGAGGATCTTATGGGAGACAGTGTTGACGGCTTTCCTCAAGTCCAAGAAGACAATAATCACACCTCTTTTCTCATTTGCCAGTCATTTTATCGTAGAAGCTTATCAAGTTGGTCAGCTGTGACTTCCCCTTGTTGAAGACATGCAGTGACTACTCCTGGTAGTATTCTTGTCCTTCACCTGCCTGAAAATAGTTTCCAGGATTAGCTGTTCCATCACTTTCCCAGGAATGGAGATATGGCTGACCAGCTTGTAGTTCCCCGAGTCCTCCTTGCCCTTCTTGAAGACAACAGTGACATCTGCTTTCACCCTGTCTTTGGACACTTGTCCCATTAAACCTTGATCAATCAAAGATTAATCAAGAGTGGCTTTGCAGTGGCATCAGCCAGCTCCCTCAGCATTCATGGGCTCATTCCATCAGGATTCTTGGACTTAATACATGTCCAGTTTGTTTATGGATTGCCTGACCAAGTCGCCTTGAACCCAGTGTATATTCATTGCTCTAGCCTTGCCCCCAGTCTCTGGATTCTTGAGGGCCAATCTCACTCATAAAAAGCGAGACAAAGGTGGCATTGAATTTTTCAACCTTTTCTGTGTACTTTGTCACCAGGTTCCCTGTGTCATTCAGCAGTGGGTACTTTTGTCACCTGTGTATTTACAGAAGCTCTTCTTGCTATCTTTGACATCCCTGGCCACTTTTAGTTCCAGTTGGGTTTAAGCTTTCCTAACTTCACGCCTGAATGCTCAGACAACGTCACTACATTCCTCCTGGATTACTTGTTTTTTCTTCCGCATTCTGTATGCTTGAGTTTGTCCAGAATCTCCTGGTTCAGCACAGGCCTCCTGGTATTTTTGCTGGACTTGTTGTTTATTTTGATGGCTCTCTCTGGAGCTTAGAGGAGGTGATCTGTAAATTTTGTCCAGGGCCCTAATCCCATAGGACTCTTCATAGCAGATCTTGGAGCAGACCAAAGTCCACTCTCCTGAAGTCCAGGATTGTGAGCCTGCTTTTTACTCTCCCCTCTCCCCTTAGGATCCTGAACTCCACCATCTCATGGTCATTGAGGTAAGGCTGCTTTTGACCTTCACGTTCTCAACTAGCCCCTTGTTGTAGGTGAGTATGAGGTCAGCAAAGCCCCTCTCCTTGTTCACTCCTCTGTCACTTAGAGGAAGAAGTTATTGTCAACAATAAATACGCCCTTCCTGGCCACACAACACTAGTATTTATTAGTGCACTGAATTGTGTATTAAAAGACCAAACATTGAAAATTACTTGGATGCTGAACTCATGAAAATAAATAAAAATAACTCTTATTCATTTTCACATCCCCCTCAGTTTCATTTGTAAGTTGAAATTGCACAGCAGTAACTGCCCAGAAGTTAATGGCTCTCTTTGTTGGGTGGGTTCTTTCTTGTTTGCGGTTTTTTGGCTGCGTGGATGTTTCTTGTTTACAAAAGAGGAAGTATTTGGTATATGTCTTTTTGTTACTTGTTTTCCAGCATGGGTCACATAGTCTTCTTACTGTCTACGTATTGGCTAAGGTAAGCTTGCTTTGCCACTTGCATTGCGTCCGAGTGTTGTCTCGGGTGTCCAGCTTTTTCACAGAAAGAAGCTTCTCAGGAGGCTGACGCAGGGATCCAATTTCAACTCTGCAAGCTGATGCAGTGGTGGCTTCCAAAATTACGCCTGTGTACATAGCAGAACAAGATTTAACTAAATCTGCCCTCTCCAAGGCAAAGGTTTCATGGCTTGTTCTTTTGTTAGCAATAGGATAAAATAGCAGAGTTACTTTTCTCACTTTAACTTCTATTCATAATGAACAGGCAGTGTTTATTATATACAGTACAGGATCAGCTTTTTCATTGCAAGTTAGGATATGCAATGGCCCTATCAGATATGAAATTAGTAACTTAAGCGTCACCTGCAACCTCCTTGCAGATGTCTTCTGAAGGATTTAAGAAATAGGCTGAATTTCTGATTTTTAATTATTTTTTACTAGAAATGTTGTACTGCAAAATTTGGTTGTTCTGGTTTACTACTAACAAATTCTGCTGTTACTGTTCTAAACAGTCATTCTTGTAAATGCCAAGAACTTTGTTGTGTGTAGATACTACTAGTTCCAGACCTCAGAAGAAGCCAAAAATGCTATATTTTTTCAGTAGTATACTTTTTCACTGTCCTTCACAGATTTTAATGGTAGAATAATCTATTTATTGAATGACCTGTCTGGCACTGAAATCTGTTAGTGTGGTGCATACCTATGGCTTCCATATTGAAAAGAGAATTGAATAAAAGAAATAGTTTTCTTGTTTCTGTTTCAAATGTATTATTTTTTTCTAACTTTTGTAAAATAAAATTAGAATATTTTGCTGTTAGGAATAAAGTATTTTACAAATAAAACTAGCATATAGCTCCTTGACTACCTGTGTGTGAAGTATTTCTTGCACCATGAATCTACAGTTGAGGTATGGTTTCATCTGAAAAGAGTCTTTTGATCTTTCAAGAACCAGGGCTTTGAGGAGACCTTCTGATTTCCAAATCTATACTGCCTTAACTGATTCAGTAACCAAACTCCTTTTAGACTTCACTTGTTAGTTGCAGCTTTGTGTGAGCTATCCGAAACAGAGATTTCCACAAAACAGCAGGAGTTAAATAAAATGCTCAAGACACTCCTTTAAACTGGTGCATTTTTAGTAGACGAGACCTGATTCAGGCACTGGAATCAATTTCTCTATTGGTCCTTGTTTGGGGGATACAACAGGGCTGGAAGGTAATCTCTCATGTGAAACACTGAGAAATCACCACCTGTCCTCCATCTTTGTAGTCCTAATAGCTGTCCCTAAAGTGTGTGACTGACGTTTCTGGACTTGAGTTGGTATTTCATAGTTCATCTGGTACTTGATGGCTCTCTGATCTAGTGCTGTTCATGTCTGGGGTCTGGTATGTGTTTCCTGGTAACGTGTAAAAGGTTTATCTTTCTTGATGCATCTTGATGTAGCCTTGTGAATGGAGGTGCATACAGTATTGTATATGAGATAATAATTGCATATATAACTGATATGCAAAAAAAAATTTATATATTGCACAAATATTAAGATACTTTTTAATTAATTTCTGTCTTAGGACTGACCCTAGACCTCATCAGAGAATTGGCAAAATTCTCTCCTGATCTCCAGCTCCCACTTGTGGATGTTGGATGGAATGCAAGACCCACTTGCAGTCCTGGGTCTTGATGTGTTAATGAGCAGAACTTTGGTCTTATGAATAGATCTTCCAAGAGCAACAACTGAATAATTCTGTTTCCAACATGGCACTTCCGTATTAGTTGGAAAAAATTTGCAGGGGAGTGCCTTTCCCTTCCCTCTATGATATGTAGAGGGTGGGGCCTTGGTTGGGGTTTTTAGATCCTTGAAGGAGTTATTGGGTGACTGATACATCTCTGTGTCACATCCTCTCCTGCTCTTGGGCAAATTAGATATGCTGCTGGAAACTCTTCCAGCACATTTCTTAGCGCTTGCTCCTACGTTGCTGGAGAATGTAAGTTGTTACGTGAGCAAGCGAAGAGACCAAACCTTCATTGGTCTCCCTGTGCCTGCCGGTCCCTTAAATGGTTTCTGTGGGTGTCATGGTTTTGGTCAGCATTGTTCTCAGACTAAAGTCAAAAACACTGTACAACACTGGCTACTAAGAAGGAGAAAAATAACTGTTACAGCTGAGCCCAGGACAGTGGGAGTTGAG